GGAGCGGTGCTTTTGGGACAGCAGCTCTGGGGACACAGCAGCTCTGCTGGCCCACACAACTCTTGCTCAGGGCTTGTGTCAATCATTCCCTGCACAGGTGAGTCCTGCATCTCTCAGAATACACCTTTTGGGTGCATGGGCCACCAAATTCAGATACTTAAAATTTCAGGTCATCAGGGCTTCCTTGGTTCAGCTATCAATAATCAACTGAGAAAATGCCAGCAAAATTTGGATTCAGGTCTGGATTGTAGTCCAGAACAGAGCTCTGCCTGCTGGGCTTACTCCACAACCTCCTGATCAGCTTCCTTAAGCATTCACATGAATGTAAAAAAAAAAAAATTATGTATGCCTCTCTCCAACAGTGATTTTAGGGGCTGCACCTGTAGATATTGAGGGTTATATAATTCAGTTCCTCTGACAAAGACACATTTGGCTGAACTTTAAACAAGGGACCTTTAGAAATCTGTAAAATTTTAACCATCAGTGTGTAACAGCTTCTAGGACTTTTCCCACCTTGTAACATTTAAAACAATGATTCATCTTCACGAGAAATATGTAACTGTCTGAAACTAACTCCAAATAATGTTAATTATCTGCATGGTCTGTGTTTCTGCATGTGCAGTTTCCAGCTACCAAGACTGGACATTATGAAAGATTTTACATGACATCAGCCTTCCAATGACCAGCCAGTTATAAAGCAGAAAATTTTTAATCTTCATTTGATTGTCATAGCTTAAAACTCACAGATTTTATGAGAGCTACAAATAATTTTTAGACTGTGCAGTGTGGACTAAAAGCCAAGGTTTTTTGTTTTGGCTTGTTGATATTTCCTGAAAACATGAAACAATTCTGAAAGGACAGATTTCCTGGCTCACAGCTAAAGGTCAGCAGTCACACAGGGACTGCTTGCTAAGTGCACCAAAAGGAAAGACTGGCGCAACACTGCAGTATTATTAAAAAGTGATTTAAGTGGGGGAAAAGGGAGAAAACAGAGAGACAGACAAAGATCATATTCTCAACAACTGAGCTTTCACAAAGATTAGGAAAACAGGCTTGTTCCTTGCTGCTTGCTGCCCCTCACTGTCACTCCAAGCTTGCTCTTGCTCTCTCTGTGCACCCCTCTGCAGCCATCTCTGACTGCATGGCCTTGGAAAGGGACTGCTCTGACCAGGCACCACACATCACTTCTAGAGCCTTTCCTGCACAGCCCAGAAGTTTTTCCAGGCTCGTTGCTGCAAAAGATTATGGCAGTACAAGTTTAATTTGTACTGGGAAGGACAAGAGTTCAGAATTCCCATGATTGTGAGCAACACTGACATGCAGTTGTGTGATATGAAAAAAAAAGCTCATTTTCCACAGGAATCTCCCCCGGACACGAGCAATGTTTGTAACTCACTCTCAGCACAGCTGAAGAGCCAGTCCTGTTCTGCAGCTGTCAGAAGGGGCACAGCCAGCTCACATCTGTATCCTGAACCACTGGGTAGACAAAGCTCCTCGTCAAGGTATTTAACTTTGCAATAATAGATACTGAAATTTCCCTATTCACTGACAAGCTGCCAGTTTGAAAAGAAGCACGTTCTGCAGTGTTGGAAGCACCTTTAAAACAGTATTTAGTACCAGTCTCAACAGAGGCTGTACTCCAGCTCTCCTTAAGACTCCCAGTTTGTTTTTATTTTTGTTATTCATGTTTTTCTTTCTAAATATAGGCTATATACATTTTTTCAGGTACATAAATGCCAACCAAAACCAACTTAGGAGTCTCGAGTAGGTCTCTGCTACAGGCCCTGCTCCCAGGTAACTGCATTTCCCTCCCTGTCTGACCAAGAGCCCTGGGCCATCAGAATTAACAAAGAATTTGTGCCTCTAATCCTGCTAATAAAAATACCTCTACTCTGACCACAACATCCTCCCTAGCACTTAGTTATCAAAAGCATATGCTCCCATCACTCATGGTCTCTGCTTCTGGCTCTTTTTCTTTCTCTTTAAGTTAAACCAAATTGGTTGTAGAGCAAAATGCTACCTTTTCAGTTAAAAGGCTAACAGCAAGCCCATGACCACATGTATAGTTTGCAACTGATGTCTCCAAATTCTGCTAACTACAGTAACATAAAGCAAAACAACAAATGTGCTAGTAAGCAGCTAAGCAGTACCAGAGGCTGTTTAAATTTAGCCCTGGCAGATCCTGGAGGAAGGGCATCTCAGAAGCCATGTGTCCTCTGCTGTGCAGAGAGAGCACTCAGACTGTAGGGTCCTATTCCACACACCTCACTTTTGAATATATGGCTACACCTCTTGCATGTCATCTGTATCTCACACGTGCATTTTCTCTAAAAGTACTTTGTATTAGATAAAGGGCACTCAGCTCTTGGACACAACGTGTTTGCCCCAAAAGCAGCCAGGGAGACTGCAAAAACAGACTCTGTAATTCCTTGCAACAACACAAAGCTGCAGCTCAGAGCAGAGGCATGCTGACAATTTAGGGCTTTACAGACCACAACCTGCAAGGATGAACTACTCTCCAAAGCAAAATGTTGACCACAACATGGAGAGCATTACTTCAGAGGCAGATTGCTGTAGCCTTGCTATTTTCTATCTGGAGCTTGGGAAATTTACTAGTAAAGACTATTACCATGATCAGCAGTAAGAGTACAGGCACAAGATTTGCTGTGATGCATCCAAAAATAAGACAGCTCCAGGCCCGAAGTTCAGTATGCCACACCTGCTAGCAGAGAATACATGAATAATCTGATCTCCAGGCTACAAATACTTGGAGAAAGGGTTGGACATCCCCATCCAGTGGAGCCTCTCTGCATTCTCCTAAGGCCAAATGAAATCGCTAATGTGAGGACAAGCTGTGCATTGATAGTTCTGAAACACCAAAAGCTGCACTCCAAGCTGCTGCTGAGGAAATCCAACAAACGCAGGCATCCCGTGCCAGCAAGACTAGAACTCGTCCATTTGACATAAAAAAGCTTTATTGAACAGCTCTAAGAAGCAGTACCTGCAAAAAGTCTTGTTAACGGTGAGATTAATTACATTTCCTGGAAGCTAGGGCAGTTTCTGTGGCATTGTTTCAGGAGCTGAGGTGATCCCATTGCCCCATCACCAGAACTCCCTCAATTTCAAACCATTTATGCAGCAGCTAAAGAAAAAATTAATAGTACTATTTAAAGGTAAAGTCATGCTTGAAACTGAGACACAATATGATGATTTTTTTAATCATGTCTTGCATAAATTATGAACTCTGTATTGATTGCAAGGGTAGTTAAGCACACAAAAAGGGTATAATGGGAGCAGGAGACATCTTCCTGGCCTGTGGGCTCAAGTGAGGTTGTTCCCACTACAGAACACCAATGATCTGTGCATTATGGTCTGTTAAAGTAATACTTGGCTTATTGAACACTTACATTGTTTGATACTTAAAAGAAACTTGGGTATACACCACAGAAATAAAGCTCTATCTTTGTAAAATACTGGGGAATAAAACTAAATGGCTCTAACTGACATCTCAACACAAGCAGCCCCCTTTTATATGCTTGTCTTTGCTTACTTTTACTCTTACTGCTGTTGTTATTATTATTAATCCACCAAAACATCACACTTAGACTAAACCAGTTCCTCACTAGGAAATTTCTGCTTATTAGTATAATCCTCTATGCTTCCATCAAATTTTGCACTTTCTTACATGACAGATGCAGAACTCTGCTCTTTGGAGTGGCTGTGGTGAAAATAAAGAGCAGATACAGCAGCCAGAGTTGTGACAGGGAGTGGAGACAAAGGGTGCCAAGCACTAACCCCTGCAAAGGGCTGGATTTCAGAGGTTGGGGATTGTGCTCAGCAGCAGCTACGTCAGGTCCCATTCAGACATCAGTCTGAGCAACCACCATTGTCAGGCGCTTTTAAAAATCCTGATTGTCACCTTTTAAAGCGGGTGAAAATCAATTAATTTTGAGCTTATAAAGGAATGCCTTTGCTGTGGCCAACCTTGGCCACACACACAATGCCTTTTGCAGAGATGCACTGCCTTTTTTTCCTATTTAGTGTAAAAGCACTTCATCTTGGTTGTAAGCCTGAAGGTCAGGCTTATTTCTTTAGATCTATTATTTACTACTTGAATTTCCAGTTCCACCTTTCTGGCTATTACAGCTTCTTTTCCTGACTCCTTTTCATGGTAACTCCGTGATGATGACTGTTGATAAAGTTAGGAGGGCCATGATTCTAAGTGTCTGACCTTCTTCAAAATCTGATAATGGATACAGTTTCTGAATCACAGGTCATCTCAATTTTGTCAGTAAACCATTTATTTACAGCGGCCTTCAGACCTCCAGGCTTACTGTGCACTGCTAAATGGGTTTTTCAGGGAACAATAAAAGTAAGACAGAGAGCCATCCTTAGCCTTTGCTATAGGAGGGATACTGGACTTTGGAGAGAATGTTTGTCCACAACATCTTATGCAGCACAGTCTCTAAGAGCTTTCCTGCTCTGTAACATTTCCTGATGTTTGTATGAAACTGACAGCTATAAGCATCCAATATGAACAAACCTCCTTTTCACTTGCAATCTACATTTAAAGGGCAAGAAAAATCCATGTCTCCTTAAACTCTCCCCACCCACTGAGGGCTATCCAGTCACCTTTACCACGTTGTTCACCTTACAGTTCAAGGCACAGTGCCAGGTTTTACATCACTGCCTCAGATGCTACTCTGCTGTGGTAGGAGCTGATTACAGCACGCCTGTCACAGCTGTGTCAGTGCCAAGGCTGCCAGCCTCCTCCAGTGGCTGCTCTGAAATGGAGATCTCAGAATGCCTTGGTCTTACAGAAACACTGCCAGAGGTACAATTCCTACAATTCCAGCAGCTCAATGCTGCATGCAAACTGTGAGATGTGAGTGAGATGCAGAGAGAAGCGTCTCAAACACCAACTCGTGGCTCCAACAGTGCCTGGAAAACTGAGCAGTGACTGGATCCTGAGCAGAGGGAACCAGGCAGGTTTTACTTACTGTCAAAGCTTCTGTGCTGTGCTGTTAGGATGGCCTGCACAGAGCGACCAGCCTCTTTCATCATGGCTTCAAATTCACTTCGGCTTTTGTTTGCAAAATTCTCCTCCATCTCGCTGGTGCAGCAGGTGTAGCCTTGTGGGCAGATTCGCAGGTGCTCCCCTAAAATGAGAGAAAATGCACTTTAGTGGCCAGGTCTGGATAAGGGAGAATTTCATGCTGGACAATCTCAGCTTAAAAATATCCCAGCTCCCTGGTAACCTGGATCTGATCAGGTCTTTCTGTCAAATTTACCACCTAATTTGAGTTCTTCTGCATTAATACAGTGGTTGGTATCAATGCAGGCACAAATTTTCTCACTGTTGACTGTGAGGGAAGAAAAAGCAAAGGAGAAAAAATTCATATACAGAGCAAGGAGAAGGGAAATACAAGTCTCTCCTAAAATCCATCTCTGCCTAGAATCCCAGAAGACATGGAAGTCTGATTCAATGACAGCTGTACTCATTAAACTTAATATGTACATTAGCACTGCTGTTTGAAACTGCTTTGTCAAGAAAAAAAGCAACAACTCCAAAGTGCTCCCTGCCTTACCAAATATATCCTGAGAAGGCATTTTCTTAACCAGAGAGGTAAGGCTAGTGAGAAGTTTTCAAGAGACAGAGACGTGATGAATGTCAGTGGAATTTTGGCAGCTAATTCCCCTCCACATGTATTGAAATTTTCAGTGAAAAATTTATCTCCCAGAAAGAGACAAGACCACCCCAAAAAAGGTTGCTAGGATAATCACTGATTCAATATACCCTTTGCTATAAGGAAGAACAGGAAAGGTGAGAGGACTCAGCAGTCAAACTGAAAAATTCTCTGCTATGGAGCTTCTCCTGGCCTCTGCAATTTCTTTACTGTGGAGAAGTGCTCGCATAGTCAAAGTCAGCAACATTTTAAAAATAATTGCTCAAGTTCTGATGAGTCCTGACAAAGACACATCCACCTACAAACACACCCTATGTTTTGCCTTACCCAAGCAATAAGAATTAATTTGAATGAAATCAAACATTTATTAAAAGCAATTCAATAAAATACCCCTCTTGTTCCAAATATGCTCTGAGATAAACCAATTTCCAAGCAGTTACCATGTTTAAGATAATTTGATTGGGATTGCCAATGATTTTGCTGGCACTTTTACAGGACTGCTGTCTTAATGTCACAGCTGAGCCCAAACATCTTTAAAATTTTGTTTTATCTTGTATCTCTCAACAGCTTCAAATCCTGAACCTGCACAGTCTCCAGAGTTTCCCATTGAAGTCCTTAGCTATTTCCAGTGTAAAGCTCTTAGAAAATGGGTGGTAAAGGGTCTCTGAAACTGGGCATGTGTCCTACCCTTGTGAAAGTTACCTCATTAGCAGCCTAAGAGCAACTGCAGTGTTCTGTAGTTGATGGATTTGAGGCAGAAGCCATTCAGGATGAGTTTGTATTTTGCTGGGCCTTGGATTCCTGCTCACAGATGACCCTTGAGCAACCTCTGCAGGGTGTGGGGTGAGCCTGCCCTTGGAAAACAGGTTATCATGGGCATCTCCACTGCCAGTCCTCACGTTTATGTGATGGGAATTGCTGCTCACCAGCTTCTGTAGGAGAGAAACTCCCATCTCCAGCCTTGTGTTGTGCTCCCAGCTGAGAGGAGTGTCAGGGTGCTGTGTCCTGGGGGCTGCCCGTGTCCTTTGGGACCCACTTCAGTCCCCACCAGTGCCCAAAGCAGCAGGAAAAACAGCAACTTGCTTCAATACCAAACCTCAAGAGTCAAATATAAATATCATGTGGCTCCATGCTTGCCACACCAAGTGCAAGCTCAGTTCCAGGGCTTGCCTGAGCCTCTCCTTCCCTCACGAACTGGGTTGTTCCGAGTTGTTCCCTGGGCTCCTTTCTGTAGAGCTGTATTTATCTGTACAGTGTCAGGGCTGCTGTCATGTGGCAGACAGGCAGGAAAAGGGAGCTGGAATTTCTTGACAAGACATGGCTTTGATTCCTGTCACGGCAAATTAAAAAAACTTTTTTTTCTTGTCCAGCCTTTTCCATCCCATTTCTGCTGCCACAGGATTTCTGGCAAGGACGGAAGCTTTGCGCACAGCGGTTTTACTGTGGGATGCACCCGGCCATGAGGCCTTCGATGCCCTCAGGACTAAGCGAGGCTTTTACAAGGCCTGGCCTCTCTGAAAAGTCAATCAACAAAAAATGGATCCCAGGGGACCTCAGCAGTTTCCTGAAGTGCCTTTACCTCCTCAGCTGACGGTGAATTTTGGTGGTGAGTCCTGGCCATGCTCAGAGGCCTCGCACTCAACACCACGAGCGCTCCCGCCATTTCCTCTGGGGGCCATCACCCACCAGGGCTGGCGGGCTCAGGCAAACCCTCCAGCAGCCCTTTACAAACGCCTTGCTTTGGGAAACCGAGGCAAATCAGTGGTGTTATGTATGATTATAATTTGTGCCAATGGAATATTGTTGTATTGAATCAAGGGAAATATGATTTGGCATGTATAATATTTAGTTATTACAAAGTACACACGCCAGCACTGAGAGCTGCCCCCCTCCCATATTCGGTTACCCCAGAGCCGGGTTTTCTTGGGCAATGCCTCATTTACAATCTAATACATGTGGCTGGCCCGGAGATGGGCTGTCCCAAAAGGCCATACTGGAACACCTGGGAGCTGATCATCCTGGAGATGGGCTGTCCCAAAAGGCCATACTGGAACACCTGGGAGCTGATCATCCTGGAGATGGGCTGTCCCAAAAGGCCATACTGGAACACCTGGGAGCTGATCATCCTGGTAGCGACCCAAGATTGGGATCGCTGGAGTCCTCCGGGCTGATACATCTGAGTGCTGCGGTTCCGTAACCATCAGGAAAAATCGTCCACACCTGGACCTGGATTGTTCAACCCCGGCTTGGAGAAAACAACTTTATGAATATGTGGGGCTCTGAATAGAAAGAAAAGGCAGATGGCTGAAATCCTGCCCTCGGGCAGAACATTTCCTATAAGAACTGCAGGGTCCAGGAGGGGGTGTGTGTGTGTCCAGGGGAACCTCTGCCAGAGGCTCCTTCCTGTCACCCAGCTCGGCGATGTCCTTTTCCTTGTGGCTGGCTCAGAGAGAATTCGATCCTAAATAAATTTTTTATTATTTCATTTTTAATTTGGCTGGACTAATTTTCATTTATAACAGTGGGAACCCTGGGGATCTCCGATCTCCCGGCCTGCTGCCAGCAGGATTGAGGCAGGAGGTCTGCCTGAAACGGGGAGAGCAAACATGGATGTCCCTGCAAGAAGACAGCAACGTGTTCACCGCGAGGCAGGCTCCCTGCACAGGCTGTGCAAACCAAGGGGGAAGGTGTAGGGATTGCCCCAGGAGGAGAAGAGGGGAGGAAGAGCCCTGAGCTCCCCAGGGACATGAGGAGCAGCAGTGCTGAGAGCTATGCTCGTTAAAACAGGACATGACCAGACAGATGTGCTGCGCTCCCAGCCCGGGCGAGGCACAGCGTGTCTGAGCAGGATGGCTGCAGCCCTGCTGCGACACCACAGCCTCCACACAGCCGAGGGGGACAGGGGAAAAACAGGCAGAAAGCCAGGGAGAAATCACACCCATAGCTAAAATTGGTTAATTTTACACAACTCTGTGAATTGCATACAGACTTGTTTCCATTCTTGAACTCAGAGCAGTTTCAATCCCTTTTGAAGTAGCATTTATCTTAGCTTTCTGCAGGTGTTTGTAAGGTACTCAGCAGGTGTTTGTGTGGTGCTCAGCACCACCACATTCTGTCTCAGTGGGAAGCAAAGTTTTCATCATTTATCTCTGTAACTCAAACTCAGCACACACAGAACAGTCTTACAGCACTGTGAACATGCTTTGCTTTCTTTGCTTTTTACGTGACCCACCCTGGAAACATTCACTATTATTATTTAACCTTTTTCTATTGATTCCAAAATAAATGTGCTCCAGAGCATATTTTGGTTCTCCTTATATTTCAAAGTCCCTTTGTTTGCCAACTTGCCTTTGTCCTATTGCTGAAGCTTGCACTATAAATATATCTGGGTTCACTCGGCAGGAGACATCTGCAGATACCTACAGAGAGCCAGAAGTGTTTCACAAGGAGTAAACTCCACGATGCAGGGTGTGTCCTCTGCCTGCTGCTGTGCCACACAAGTTCTCCCTGGGTACAGCTGAGTTGTTGCTCACCACTTGCTGGACAGCCCATGCTCCCACCCCTGGAAGAGCTTTGCAGGAAACAGGCAGGTATGGCAGAAGCCAAACTGGCAGCAAATGGAGAGCTGCTCAAATCTCCTTGAAGATGATGGATACGCTTCCAGTGAACCAACCCTGGATCTACAACACATCTGTAAGTAAGAGAAGATATTTGAGATGCTCTGAAAACAATCAGCTTGCTCAAGCCTTCCAGAGTCACAGTGTGAGGTTCAATCTGGGTCTCTCTGGAAGAACCAGCTCTCCTGCAAAATCTGCTGAAGCTGGGGTGGGATGTAACCCACTGACTGCATGGTCCCTTGGAAACAGAAACAGGGTACAGCAGACAAGAAAACAGCATCAAGCAAGTACCTCATTTATGATTTAACTGTCCTGGATGGAATAGGCAGGAGGCTGATGATGACAAGAGACTACCCCATTGCATAGCTACAGGCTTGGATTGTCCTTGAAACACCCTCTCAAGCTGGCTGGGTTAGCAGATCATTTTGGCTATCAAATTCATTACTTCTCACTCACGGATAGAGTTAGGCCTAGGGTCCCTGCAGGGGAATAGCCCTGCCCACAGCCACCGCTCCCAGGAGCTGAGACACAGTGCATTACAACAGAGACAGGGCTCAGCTCTGACAGGGCTCAGCTCCCCCTTCTTCCGTGTGCTCCAGCCTCTGTGCCCTGCCCACATGGGCTCCCCGGCTGCCTGCCATGGGCTGTGTGCTGGAACACACCAGAGCTCAGCTAGCTGTGCCCAGCAAAGCTCTCCAGCTGTTCACTGCTCCTGCCTTTCACCCCACCAGGAGGCTCTGGAAACAAGACAGAAGGGCAGTCCCAGGGGTGTAAAATGCAATGCTGAGTGAAGAATCCTTGGCTCCTTTAACCATGTAAATAGTGCTATTTCTATCCCTCTCACAGGATGTTGGA